AAAAAATTCTCATCTCAACACACCAAAAGCACACTCTTGTTTTAGGAGATTATAAAATTTCTGTTGTCATTCCCTTCTTTCCATCAATTAGCTATAAAGTTGCACATATTTTGCAGAAATTTAACTTTCGGCTCGTTTACTTTCCCATCAATAAAATTCCGAGTTCCATACTCAAGGACCCCATTCCGGATATGAATTCCTGGAGTATTTACAGGATTCCTTGCCAGTGTGGTTTAATTTACATTGGCCAAACTAAGAGAGCCTTAAAATTTCGGGTTAAGGAACATGAGGCATATGTTAGGAAAAAGAAAACACAGAATTCTTCTGTGTGGTTCGAAAATCACACTTTCAATTTTTCTGCTGCCAAAATTATACAAAAAACATCTTCCATTGGAGAAACTGGATTTTCTAGAGGAATTTCACATTATAAAAAATCTTTCTGTTCTAGTTAACGAGCCTAATTCCAATCCATCTTTTCCTTCGGCCTTTAAAGAAATTATGTTTTAGTTCTGGTTTCTTCAAGAGATGGCGCCAGTAGCTTATCCTCTTGTCCAGGTTTTTCCTTGTCTTATATTATCATTATATCTTATCTCGTTCATTTGCGCTTTTGCAGCTTAGGATGATGGTTCTGTAAAACCATCGAAACTAGTCCTGTGAAATTTGAAAATATAACGCTGATTTTTGGTGTTTGACTTCTAAATTAGTATTTGTTCGGCATGTTGTTGTATCTTTAAAATTCTCTTTCTTTGCCCAAACCATGTATTTGAATATATAGTAAATGTTGACTAAACTGAAAAATAAAATAAATTTCATTCCTTTCTTTGCACTATAATCAAAGCTGCTCGTACACCTTACACGCAAAAAAAAAAAAAAAAAAAAAAAAAAAAGAACATTTCTATATGTCCCCTTCTACTGGACCGATTTCAGAAATTTATTTTGCGTTTTCCATGTCTCCAAAGCACGACTTAGGATATATACTAGATTTATACATAACCATTGTTCTAACATATGTATTTTGACACAAAATCGGAATTTTTTAAAAATAACATACCAATTTTTTTCCATGTGTCGATTCTACGACTCAAATTATGCCAAAGTGTCAAGTTTTGTAAAGATGGAAAAAAATTAGCTTCTCAATGTTAATTGAATTTGGTATATATTTATTAATATGTCCTTTATATTAATCTTATTTCATTTTTCCTTTCGCATTTCGAAATTTAGATTCTCCCATTGTTTACAATTTATTTTTTAAATTTGTGTTTTAATTAATTTTTATAAATTTTTCGAAAACCAATTTGAATTATAACCTATAAAATTTTTGCCATCACCTTAAAGTAGATCGATTTATAAGCATACTTGCAAAAAACTAGAGTTTTATATTTAAAATTTCTTAAGATATACGTGAATTTACATAAAGGCGCGTTTTTGAATTTGTTATACGCGATAATAACGCCAAATGTGGTTTACTCACTTTGTTAAAGTTACTTGAAATTATGAACGAAGACTCTTTCTCCAATGTGTGCAATGAAAAGAAGGAAAAGAAAATAGGTTGCTATAAATTAAGAAGAGCGAACTGAAAAAGTGCGCTAAGGTAAATTTTTAAATTTCTCCCCAAAAATTACAAAATTTATTATTTAGGCATAATTTAAGTCTTAGAATCGAAATGTGGCAAACAACTGGTATGTTATTTCAGAAAAAGTCCGATTTTGTGTCGAAATAACTATGTTAGAACAATGCTATAAATAAATCTAATATATATCGTAAGTCGTGCTTTCGAGACATGGAAAGCTTAAGGTAAAAAATTTCGACAATTGGTCCAGTAGATAGGGAGATATAAAACTGTCCCCCTTTTTTTTTTTCTTTTTTTTTTTTTTTTTTTTTTTTTTTTTTTTTTTTTTAATGTGTGTGTGTGCAAGATGTTCTACATCTAACGCTAACTAAATAGGAGGAAAGAGGAAGCAATCTTAATATTTGCTATTTCCTCTATATACGGTAAAGTATTCATATTTTTATCATAAAATATAATGTTTAAATTTCAATTACTTACAATTAATATGATAATTTAAAACTCCATTTTAATTCAGTTTATTTAAACGTTCAAGGAAAGGATGTTGCAGCAGATAACTTTCACAGTAAAACGGGATGTGAAGGAAGTTAATTAAACTTCCTTAAAATCTCAAGAGGATGTTACTACTTTATCTCGAAAATTTATCTAAACTATAATATCTGATTTCGGAAGACGAAAGGAATAAAAAAAGGTATATTTTTTTAGAAAACGTAAAATGTCCCTAATGGGAAGCGAAATATATTTTATTACATTTGATTACATTTATTCATTCAGATCTGATAACAGCTGCAAATAAATTTAATTCAATTTTCTTACAACCTATTTTTTTCAAATATTTTATAAACAGCAAAATAATCCCTGAGTAAAATTATACAAAATCAAATTAAAATTCACTTTATATTTCTTAGATAATTTATGTCAGATGGAACTATGGCTTAACTTCATGAATTCTTATATCGTTTTGGCAATGAAATCAGCACACAAAAGATCATTATGATTCAAAATGTAGGAAATTTTGTAATACTTTTTATTTGATTACTATTGTTATTCAGTTTTTATTTAAAAATATATTTTATGTTAATTATATTTATATATATATATATTTAAAAGTAATAAATACAGCGTCAAAAGCAATTCTAAACCTAATTCTGAAAGCACCAACAAATATATTTCGTGGTAGTAATGCAAAATAAGTTAGAAGTATGCTTAAAATCCCTTTTATATTCAATTTGTAAAAAAAAATTATATGTTGTAATTGCTGCTAATGTTCACTTGTCTGACCTATAGTCAGCCCGAGTCCACGAAACTCCTCGTGTCAAGGAGCGCAAGTCTGCACCTGTCTTTGGCAACAGCCTTGAGCACCTTACAGGTGACAGTGTGATTTAACTCAGTCCCCCCCCCCAATTTTGATGGAGAGCGTCCCTGGGAACGCGTCCGAGGGTCTCCCACTCCTCTTCCCGTACCAGCAACCTCTCGAGGAGTTCCGCTTCGCTTCATATCTAGAGTACACCCATACGGCACGGACACTATACATTTACAAACATCCATTCCTTCTCCGGTATTCGAACCCGAGCCCTTCGGCACGGCAGTCTGCAACGCTAACCACTATATCGGTTGGGCGGCAAAAAGAATTATATGTAAAAAGCAGAAGCACTGTGACAAGCTGCATGTTGAGCGCAAAAAGTACCAAAAAGGAAAATGAAAATGCAAAAAGAAATTTACATCTTTCTCTGCATCTTCTTCAAGGGGATGGTGCAACGAAAGAAGTAAATGCAATGCCTGTTCGAAGCAATAATTTGGAAATTTTGTGAACTAATAACTATAGACTGTAAGGTTTTGATTGATAAAGATAAGAGATTACCTCGATTAATTTTCTGAGATTATTTTAAGTATCAAACTTTAATTTGTTTGTTTGTTGCTTCAAAAACAGTATATATATATACTAGAAAGCCCGGCGGTCATACAAAATAACCGCTGTTCTAGATATTATAAATTGTAATTAAAATGATTTGTGCAAAGGTCTCTGCTAATTCAAACTGGAATTACCCAGGACAAGCAGGCGAGCACGCCCCTTTGCTTACTGCCCCACAGGGTTTCCCCCTTCTTGCTTAATTGCTTAAAGTAGAGTGCAAGGAAGGAAACCACTGGCGGTACATTTCTTAAGAGCCACCGCTAGCTCAATAAAGAAAGGTGGTTTAAGTAATAAAATGTTAATTCACATGACAGAGGTCTCATTGTATACAACATTTCTTGTGTAGATCTTTCCATCCAATTTTTAAGCTCGCCTTGCAGAGGACCATCCACTATTTTTAATTTTGCTTCTGTTCTTTCACGAACTCTTGAACAGGCAATATAAAGTTGACCGTGTCCAAATGCAAGCGACTTCTTGGGAATTTAATTAGATATTAATTAAAATCTAATTTCTTGAGATATTAATTAAAAACTAATTTTCCCTAACGTTTTCCCTACATTTTCCACTTTCCTTCTTGGGTTTCCTATTACAGGGATTTGGCTACGTGCAATTTTTTTCCTTCGAATATCTAGGGAACGGCGCCGAGTTGAAATTCGAGACGCGTATCCTGGGATTCCAAAAAATTTTCCGAATCCATCAATACCGTTCTCATCTTCGTACGATTTTAATCGGCCGAGATATTAATTAAAAACTGCGAAACCGTTAATTTCCGTGCTCATTTTTCCGAGTGGCAACAATAAACTATCGGCGATACACACTTTAGCCGCTTATATATATAAAAATACTGTTTTATTACAGCAGTATATTCTTATTATATAATGTAATCTATATATTATATATATATATATATATATAATCTTGAAATGTTAGCTATTTTTATCAAGCATCAATATTCTTCTATATTATTATATTATTTGATGTTATTTATTATTTGATATTATATTATATTATTTGATGTTATATTATATTATCTTTCTAAAATGTTCATATTACTATGTATAAATTCAGTATACTATTCTATACGATAAGGCATTACTTTATTTTACATGCGTTACTATTTTGTGATTTTTAAAGATATTTTGTTCAAAAAGATAGAATTAAACCACTTTCTAACTTTGCTACATAATATGGAACCGCTGCTTATATCCTATTGGTATTATCTTTATTAACGCTCTGAGCGTTATGACCGGCTTTATCCGGTTATCAGAAGTTTTGCTACTTTGGCATATATTAGCTTATAATTTAAGATATTTTGCTTTCTTACTTTCTATTAAAGAAAGTACATATCATTTTAATGCATGCAATTTTATGAAAATACAGACTAAAATAAGTAATTATATACAAACTCAATTAATAAATGTTGTTTAAATACCTATCTTCATGACGGATCTAAAATTCTGCGTCGCTCAAAAAGCTCTTTCAGTATTTAAGTAAGTGTCGTGAATGATTTACAAATGAAAATTAAAAGGAAGAAATTTTATTTGAAACCTGCAGGTTCAACACTTCAGAAAATACAAGCTTCATTATATATTCGAAATATCTCATAAAATGATGCTAAATCCTTTATTTCTTTCCCCATCTAAAGGTGCCACCAACACCGTATTGTGGTTTACTCTTGAAGGTATGTCCTTGATGACGAAATACACTTTGTCCGTAGTTCACACCAAGTTCTAAGCTTCTATCTCTGTTTTTACTTTCCCAGACTTTGGTGCCAACGCCAGCATTGTAGCCAGCACCGAAATTGCGAAGATTTTTTCCTCCACCTTGTCCCTGAAGGCTAAAATTAGGCTGAAAATAAAATTTGTTTATTAAAAACTTTTGAATGAATTTTGCATAATACAGGGTATCTATCATTAAAGATTCTTATTTCAAAGCTGCCTACAAGCGAAACCAGTAATCAGAAAATTGTGAAATTTAGTGACGGACTTAATAAAGAGACGAGAATGTCTTTCAGAGAGAAAAATAAATGAGTTATAAATAGCGTCACCAGAGGGCGTTTTACTTTGAAAACGTGTAGTAAACGCTTAAATCTTTGTCGACGTCATACAGCAGTTGTTGTGAAACCTGGAAACATTCGCGGGGACTTTATTTCCAATGTGCTTGTTGCTCTCAATGTCTTATATATTTACGTGGTCGCGCTTTGTTAGTAAAACTGTTTTACCAAAACAGCTGGTACTTTCGTAATATGTGGCCTCTCGGATTCCCAGACCTCAGTCCATATTTTTGGCTTTGGGGGCATTTGAAACATCTGGTAAGTCGTGGCAATCCTAGAAATTTACCTCATGGTAAAGCCAGCAATTCACGCCACGTCGTGAACATTTCCCAGCACACATTTCAGTCAACTCTAGAACATGCCATTTTGCGATTTCAAATGGTAACTGAAAATGATTGCCATCATGTGAGACACGATCTTTGTAACAAATTTGTAAAATTGTTAAGGTGGGGTTAAATGTAATTTATTGATGTAATGGCCTGTGGTAATGCTATTTGTAACTAATTTTTCTATCGCTGAAAATAATTCTCATACCTTCATTAAGTCAGCCACAAAATTTCACAATTTTCTGATCAGTGGTTTCTCTTCTAAGCAGCTTCGAAGTAGGGCTCTTTAATTATAGATAATCTGTATTTTGTGAACTTACAAATTCATTTTGCTTAATTTACAAAAGCCAACTTATATAAGACAATTCTGCGTGATGATTTTTTCAAACACACGTATAAAACTGAATTATATCATATCAGAACTGAGACAGCTTCCTTAAGAAAATCATTTCTGCATTAATGTCTCGAAACAAGGAAAAAATTAGCATTTTCTATCTTTCTTTGATAAACTGAATAAATATCAGATTATCAAATAGAAACTGGATATCAGTAGCATTTAAATGTCATTATGTTATTTTTGTAAGGTACCGTAATTTTCTTAACTAGCTATCTTTTTTTAGGAATTTTTTTCTATCCACACCCTTCTCGAGAACGTCTAGTTGTCGCAAAATATATTTTCGCAGAATTAGTTTGTGATAACCGGAGGAAGGTCACGCTGAGACTCCATATAATGATTATTACATTTGTTGAGGTTGCACGTTTCTAACTCCATTTTCGAATGCAAAATATATTTATTACAAATCGTGAGAAGCTCTTACACAATGTATAATAATGTAGGAAACATAGAACAATTAATGCAGGTAAAATTACTGACCTCGTTATGTGAGGATTTTGCTAACGACGAATGTCTCTAGTCGAGAATTCCAGAGCATTCTGGCCTGTTGTTCCGATAGAAAAATCTCTTCAGACTGAATTAGCGACGCCTAATTAATTTTGCGGTTGTATTTTATGTCCTCTGATTCGTTATATCTGGAACGATATCACAAAAAAAACAAGATCATTGGTTCATCAGCCCTCCTGAAATCGAGAGTCTTTGACGACCAGACACACCGCAGAACAGTAAAATCTCTTGACACTGGTCGCGAAGTTTTGTCTTTTGTACTGTCAACTGGAACGAATTATTGCATCTACGATTTCAGATCATGTCGTCTGATACATCATAACAGCTTGAAAACAGTGACTTTTAGGGACCGCACACGATTTTCTCATCTCTCTGTGGTCCGCCGCAAGCTACATTTTAAAATAAATCCTACTGAACAGTATTTCTCAAGTCACTCCCTTTTGTTTTAAATTTTATTTTACCCCTTAATAGTCTAATTTGTCTCTCCGACAAAACTTCTCGAATTATAACAGGTAGTAAAATTTCGCTACAGTTATCTGGTAAATTACTAACACAATTTTCAATATACTGAGAGACGCATGAATGTGGTGAGTATAATTCAAATATAATATGAGTATTTCTGAAATATTTTACTTCCCTAACCTAATCTCTTGCTCCAACTACTTACGATCGGTTCAAAATTAAATCTTTGGTTTTGTCAATCATTTCTAGAAAATCTGAAATATTTATATCTGAATATAAAACATCTGAATATTAAATCTGAAATCTTCAATTATGTGCTTGGAAATAAAGAATGGTAATATTAACTGTCATAAAAATTATTTAGCTTGTATACACAGTTCAATTGATTGACTTTAATTATTAATTGATTAAAGCAATCAAAATCATCTGTAGAAAGATTATTTTAAGTATAACTAATTAAATTTGAATTTTTCTAATTTGAATTTTTCAGCTCATATTTATTATCAAATACTTTAAGACTTTTGAAACTAGAAGAGGACGTTTCACAAAGTGAGATTAAAGGTTTCCTTTCGTTTTAAAAGCTTTGTCATATGGTAATACAGATATTCAACACGAGAGAAAAAGCCAAGACAAGCTAGGAAATATTTTCTCTTCGAATTTTAAGAGTTAATTTATTAAAATTATTTACAGAATATAAGTTCAGTTGTGCAAATGCATACGTGAAACAGACCCATCTGAAATTTCCATTTCTTGTTATAATACGAAGAAAATTATACAAGCTCAGATTTTTAAAAAATTCCAGTTAAATTTTTAAATAATCTACACTATTAAAATCTATGCCCGTCTGTCTTTTAGTTTGTTTGTTTGTGGCATTATCTCCTCCGGAGCGACTAGAAGTTGAGTATCGTGAGAGGCACCCTTCGGATTCCTAAAAATTCGTTTCCAGAGAAGCCTTTTAAACCATTCTCATCTTCGTACGGCTTTAATCAACCGAGATATTAATACGCGCTGAAGAAACTGAAGAAGAAACCAATAGGAGGATCAGCAGACAAGTAGAAATTCAGGAAATGTTTGCGTACTCAAGACACTGAAGCAGAAGCGTCTAGGAGGCTCAGCACACAAGCAGAAAGCTAAGAAAATTTGCTTGCTCAACAAACTAAATCGGAAACGAGTAGGAGGCTCATCAGAAAAGAGGAACGTCAACAGAATATGCGTAATGAAGAGACAGAAGTTGCAAGTAGACGAAGGACACAAGACTCTTAGCATCATCGACAAATTCGAGTGGAAGAGTTAGAACAGAATGCCACCAAACAAAGAATGCAAGACACTTCACACGACAGACAATCCGATCTGAAGAAACATTGGCTATACGAGAGGATAGACTTCATATGAGTACAGCACGACATTTACGTAGTACTTTTCACAATGCAGGAAGGTGGGGACTCGAAGTTTACGTTTAGTAACACTGTGTCGTTTAATGGAAGCTTGTTGCGATATCTGCAGTAAACTCTTCTTTCCAGAAAAAAAGGAACATGGAATTTCCGTGGACTGCTGTCACAATGAGAAAATCGCATAAGCTGAAAGAAAATATCCAGAAGAATGGCGTATGAATGGGAAACACCAATTTTCTCAGGATTGTTTGTTTTTGTTAGCATTGTCATCTTAGTTTTGCTTCCTTAGATGCCACTATGGAAATGCCTACAGGTTCAGGTCCCTATTGTTTTAGAAGAGTTCAAGGTGCCATATGTCACCGAGCATCTTCATCCACCCCATCCTGATCAATAACAGTAGGCCCCCATCTACATATTTTAGATTTGGATCAATTCTTTAAGCAGAGAATGAATATACATGGAAATGTTGCTTTGAATGCTGATCTGCTGACACAGTTGGATGTAGTTTTAAGGAATGGGAATCCGTATTCAGAAGCCTAAAAGATGCTGAAAAATTTGAAGGAACTCTACCAGAGGAGCTGAAACTGCTGCTGTTATCCATATGTACATCAACGGCGAAAGTCTTGTTTCAGGTGAGCACAGAGAGCATTACAGTGCTCCAAAAGTAAACGAAGTTGCAGCTGTTTTCAAGAGTGCACATGGCGTTGTCCCATCAAACAAGAATATCGTAATACATGCAAGAGATGTTGGTCTCATTAACATCAGTACTTTAAATCCTAACTTGGAACTGATGACGTATGTAATTTTCTTTCTTCATAAATTTCAATGAACTCTACGAGAGCAAGGGGCTGAAACTGCTGCTGTTATCCGTATGTACATCAAGGGCGAAAGTGTTGTTTCAGGTGAGCAGAGAGAGCGATACAACACTCCAAAAGTAAATGCAGCTGTTTTCAAGAGCGCACATGACGTTCGCCCATCAAACAAGGATATCGTAATATATGCAAAAGAGATGTTGATCTCATTAATATCAGTACTTTAAATCCTAACTGAACCGCTGACGTAATGCAGTTTTCTTTCTTCGTAGTGATTAAGGATTCAGAGTTGCACAGCAGTGCACTGAGGAGAAGTTTATAGTCACAGAGTGTCTGTAGGACAACATTAATACAACCCTATTTTGTATGGCCGACAATTGTTAATAAAGCCTAAAATAAAGCTGAAACATTTCATATTGAGTGTTTTTATACATTTTCATTTCAGATGTACATATGATTTATAAATTTTGCTTTGGCTACAGCCCACTCATCTAAAGCGATTGTCCGCTAGTTTATATAGATCAAGTGATTGAAATTTCTGAAAAGAAAAACCGTCAGTTTTGCTATAATTTGTTAAACGGTAATTTAGTACATAAAATTAAATATAATTACTAATTAGTTATTAGACTTACTTCTCCTACTTTGTAGTCTTTTGGATCCTTGGGACCTTGACCATATGCTAAATGGGAATAAGAAGCATTTCTGTTACAATAGTGATATTAAAAAAATTCGTTAAACACTATGAAGCAGATAATACTGATATTTACCAATATTTATTTTTTCGTCTTCCACGAATGACAGGTATTATAAATAGTCAGTGGTACAGGGTGTTTGTGTTAATTAACCAGTTATTTTATGTTCTGAATCTGTGCTGTTGTTTCTCTGTTTCCGTTTTTCTGACGGAATACAAATTAACTCGTGTGTTTTTAAGTAAAGGGTTGAGATTGTTTACACAGAGCCTAAGCATTCCTGTCGTCGGCATTGTTTTATTCTGGCTGATAATGCCGTCACGCCGGTGCAAGCTTAACAGCCAACTTCCGCATTTAAATAAAATTCAGCATACTCTTTGGTTAATAGATACTTAGATTTAGTTTTAATTTAAAATTCTGTCTTGAATTCACGTCATAAATGCTGGCTGATTTGTAAGTACCAGATGTGCCTCCTGTTCAGCATACTACTTTTAAGTAAAAGCGCATTTTACACTCTTCTTATGTCTCTGTTTCATATTAGATACAGAGATAAGTCTTCACAGTGGAATGAGGATTTGCCGTACGTCATACTTGAGGACTTAAAATCAAAGGTCTTACCGATTCTATGCAACCTTCTTGGAGCTACCTTTCAGCAAGATCTGTATACCTAACCAACAGAAATTACCTGTTTATTTAATCCTTTGACTACTAACGGGACACATATGTCCCACTAAAAGTTTAAAAATTACTGCTGGGTAAAAAAGTACTTCAGAATCTCCTGAATGTTGGGGATCGTCTTCCAATAGTTGGAAAATCAAGACGCCGCTGTGTTCGTTGTACACAAATGAACATAGAGAAAAGAACAAATATGAGTTGCCCAATGTGTAATGTGGGTTATGCAAAGAATGCTTTACCCTGTACCTTATGATGTAAAATCTATTTCATACAATATAGTTTCTGCGTGTGGGACATATGTATCCCACTATTAACTACGGCTGGGACATATGTATCCCAGGCTTTGACTTGAAAACCGTTTGTCAAAATATTTCCAAATTCTAAATTTATCTTATTTATAACATATTTTGTTCACTTGGATAGAAAACGGGTAAAAATACTTTTTTAATTCTTAGTCAAAGAGTTAAATTGTATTGCTGTTTAGTTAAACCTAGAATTAATGTTATAGCAGCTGGAAGATTTAATATATCGTGATTATTGCATATGAAATAGGAAATGTAACTTCTTTTAAATTCGTTCACATGGCTTTAACTTAAAATCAAATTTCCTTAAAAAAAAGGCTATTATTTCGTGATGTAAAATATATATGCGGTATAAAATAACATCATATGAAAGTATTCAGTAGAAAAGAATTTGAAATAAATTGTTTTCCCTATCATATTTCATTACCAGAGCTAAAAAAAATTTCCAAAAAACGTGTCTCGCTTTTTGTTACATTGTAATATATACCTTATACATATCAATCATAGACACATTTATAACAAATTCAAAAGAGTGCGCAATTCCTTGTAAGGAAAACTGAATAAAACAAACGCAGACAGAATATGATATAAATAAAATTTGAACTCAGGAATGAAAACCTTGCCTTCAAATTTACAATCCCGGTGGTACTTTTTGAGTTTCAATTTTGTTAAAACTTTTTATATGATGTATAATGAAAATTTCTTCAAATGACTCTTCCTTCAAATCTTTAGTTCGAGTGCTGATGATTAAAAATTTCAAAAAATTTGTTATCGAACTTTTTTTAATGTATCAGCCATATTATGATGATTTTCCATAGAATTTTTTCCAAAGCTTCATCATAAGCTATCAATATGATTTGGACGCAATGCAGCTTACCTGAAATTAAGAAGAACGCTTAAAGTCTTTTAGCATTTCTTACACACATTATTTGTTTTATAAATAAAGATTTTAACTTTAGCTGTTCAAAATATGAAGTGTTTTTTTTGGGGGGGGGGAATTGGGAATAACAAGATAATTATGTTGCGTTATCCTACTTCTGACACCAGTTGTTGCGTTATTTCCTTCCTTCACGTCGTACGGGGTTCGTAGATTTGGAGTGAATAACGACGACATTTGATGATGTATCGAAACACACTTTATTTAGCAAATATTGATCAGGACAGCTCCAAAGTTACGTTTTACAGTCGTCGAAGATCTACTATAAACAAGCTGACACAATCAACGACACAGTCTTCACCCTATCAGGTTATAACGGTGGAGAAAGCTTCACGGCAAAGCACCAGAGTACAGCTCCCGACTTTGCTCGGTCGTTCCCGGAACTCCACGTACTTACGAGACTCTCCACGCTACAACTCGCGATGCACTCGACGACATACAGAGCACGGCTCCCGACCTTCGGTTAGTCGTTTCCCGGAGCTCAACACGCTCTCTCGACGAATGCACTAACCGCGAAACACTACAGACTCCTTCGGTGCACTTGACGACCCACTCGGCACTCGCTGCCCGGCTGTCAACTCGATCGACTCCGCAGGGACTGACTCGCTAGACGAGACACCAACTCAATACTGACTAACTCTCCGCCTAACAGCAAGGTTTATATAGCTTTTGACTGGTGTTCGAGAACATTATGGGTTAAATCGGTAAGAATTCGTTCCAGAAGGTTCTCCAGCCGTCCATGGCAGGTCGCCAATTTTGTCGCCAAATGTCGCCGAATGGGTGATTTCTCGCCTGGCAACCCTGTTTTCCCTTGACATTTTATTCAACTCTAAAACTGCTTTGCGGGGAAGCTATCTTACAGCGCCTGGACATTTCGTAACAATAAGAGGTCGATTGGATGTAAAAGAGATTTCCAACAAAGTTAAATATGATCTAATATAAATTTTTAATGGATCACAAAAGTGTTCGTATACTTAAGAATTTCAGAGAAACATTGCTTTATTCATTAATAACAATTAACATTTAAGAGTGAGAATTTTTTAATAATATCTTTAAATTCATTTTAGCAAAATGACATTAGTTATTTTGTGAACGTTAAACTTGTATTTTGGAAAAATTAATAATCAAAAAGTAGCGGGAAAAGCTACCCCAGAAAAGTCTTCGTACACTTTAAAGGAATTTTACACATATTAGTAAATATTGTAGTATAATTGTTAGTTAGTATATTGTAAGATATCCTGCAGCACTAGTGACAGTTTTCAAACATCTGTGCATAGAGTTCACATGTTTTTTTTTTTTTTGTAATTATCTGCATTAATGTTTCCCTATTCTTCCAGCATTCCTGTTTTTAATTCAGCTTAAGTTTTTGTATTGTGTCTTCGTATTGTAACTTTTAATTCTCTCCAAATGCGTTCTATCGGATTTTAATCTAGTGATTGAGGGGGGATTTTAGAACTTGCAATAGTTATAGACATACCAAGGGTGAACCTTGAGAGGCATGTGCTTAGGATCGCTATTCTGATAAAAATAAATAAAAAAATTTTTCAGTACGCAAATTTGGGGAAGATAATTTTAAATCATCTTTTAAAACATTTAAATAAAGAGCATGGTTCATTATGCCTTACCTCCACCGCCGTGCTTTACTCTACCAAACAATGTCTTAAGATTAAGTTACTTGTTTTTTCTTCTTCATAAAATTATATGCCCATCGGGAACCAAAAATGTTAAATTTGCTTTCATCTGCAAATAAGACATGGTTCAAATTCGAGCTTATTTACCATTGATTTTTGCGAAGGAAAGTGTAGAGATATTAGGTATTTTTGGAAGCAGGAGTTGTGAAAAATGAGCAATGCTCTCGCCGGGACTCGAAGCATTGCCTCTGGAATACGCGTCGAACGTGCTGACCTCTACACTACGAAGGCATGCTAATAAAGCGGGAGAAATACCTTATTAATAAGCTTTCTATTTTGCACTTTCGAATAGAGCGTCTGTGTAATCCAGCTTATCTGAGTACTGGTCGAAAAGTTTCAGGTGAAATTAAGGCAAACAAGTTTTCAGTAATTTCCTTGGAAATCTTTACAGCACTCAAACATGGATTTTTCATAAATTTTCTAGCTATAAATCTCTGATCACGTTGAATTAATTTTGACGGAACGACGTCTTCATACTTAATTTTCGATCCGATTTCCTTCTTCAAAGCGTTTTATCTCATAATGCACTCCAGAATGGGATAAATTTACTAATTTAGCGATGTCCTGGATATATTTTCCACCCTTCTCATGAAAAATGATCAATTTTCGAGTTATATTTGTTGTTTCCTTACGACTACGACAAATTTTTAAATATTAATTAAATTATAACGAGGTAAGCAAGCAAAGAAAAAAGCCACACAAATTTTTAAACGTCATCAGAATGCAAAAATGTGTCAGACTATAATTATAGTTATGAAATTTTACGAAAATGTTTCAATGAACGATTACTTTTGGGGTGTGTTTTATCTGTGACTCCTTATATTTTAAATTTCAGAAAAAGAAAATAGGTCAGTATTAAAATAAAGAAAAGCTTCGTTTTATTAAAAACTGCATGGAGATGATATGAAAAAATGTTGGGCTTTATATTCAAATTTAATTCCGGTCTACACCACTTTTTTTACAAATTCTTAAAGTTTCCAAACACTATATATTAGATTCTTTTATACATATACAACATATTTTTAGAGCTAGGTATAAAAATATGAACTTATTTAGACCAGGTTATCACTTACCATAACTTACAAAAAGAAAACAAAAGATCCCAGCCGTCAGAATTCTCGAGGAATGCATTTCTCCAAATCTGCTTAGCATTTAGATTTAACTTTCAAAATAGGGTGCAATAATTTGCCATGTAGTTGACTTTTTAAATAAGGTATTTTCTATTTATATAGAGAATGGGATCTAGGGAAAGGAATTTCCTGCTAAGGAAGTATGTTTCAGAAGAAAAATTTTATCCTTAGACAGGAAATAGAGGAGACATATATTTCCTTTGCTGCTTTAACTAACAGAAATTCCCTTTTCCCATAACATTAAAAATAAATAAAAAAATGTTTTCAGTACGCAAATTTGGGGAAGATAATTTTAAATCATCTTTTAATACATTTAAATAAAGAGCATGGTTCATTATGCCTTCAATAAATACTAAGTTACCTAATCTTGATGCTGACATGCACCCTTGCATGAAGACACCTCCACCGCCGTGCTTTACTCTACCAACCAATGTCTTGGGATTAAGTTCCTTGTTTTTTCTTCTTCATAAAATTATCTGCCCATCGGAACCAAAAATGTTAAATTTGCTTTCATCTGCAAATAAGACATGGTTCAAATACGCTTCGAGCTTATTTACCATTAATTTTTGCGAAGGAAAGTGTAGAGATATTAGATAATTAAAAAAAGCAACAAAATAAAATCAGAAAAATTTCAGATTTTAAATTACGTCCAAAGGGGCGTTTTTTTTAACATTTTGTATGTTACCTTTATTTATTAAATATCATGTTCTTCGCACTTAAAACATAAAAATTCAGTTCAAGAGCAATATCGTAAAATAATTTTTAAATGAGCATGTCTTTAGAATTTCCGATACACAGTCTCGCGCGCTGGAGATAAAAAAGGTTTTTCTGTACAATGTTGCCATTGCTCGCTTTGGAATCCCTCAGTTTCTTATTAAAAAATTGGTTAAAGTTTTACAAAATATGAAATCGATAATAAAACAAATTCCAAATTTCAAATTTGCCCTTCCAGCAGATGCGCATATTTGCAGGGGGATTACGTTATTCAAAATTCGTTGGCTTGTTGTTTTCACACAATGCGAGAAACATACATACATTTATGCAGATTCTTCAATATTTAATTTCTTTAAATATAAAGGCTCTAGTGTTGAATTGGGTGCCCCTTCGATTAGCGACAATTTTTTTTTTTTTTTTTTTTTTTTTTTTTTTTTTTTTTTTTTTTTAATGTGGCGATGAAACCTCATTCTGGTACCATTAGCAACTTTGTTTGCTTAATGATTTCATTTAAATGAAAATAGATTGCTGTGTACATGGACAAATTTAAGGCAGTGCGTAATGCCTAGTGTGTGCAATTCCAGGATGTTTTTTTTAAGTGAAAACAGATCGATGTGTACATGAACACAGAGTGTGTGCAGTTCTTTGACTTCTTATTTTGGTTTTGTGTAGCGGCCATCTTGAAACTGTTTCTTCCTGGCGCCGATCCTATCGTCAAAAAAGAATCGCCAAGAAACAAGGGGCACCCAATTGTAAATTTTTACCAATATAAAACAGTGCGGTATTATTTAGTGGCAACAATTTGAAAAGTGAAACAACGCTTGTAGTGAATCTACGCAAAATGCCAAAACGAAATTAATAGTCCTTTTAGGCAAATTGGCCCTTTGGACTATAAATAAAATTTGAGAGCTTTCAGATTTTATATCACGCCCAACGAGACTTTTTTAATGTTTTGTGTGTTACGTTTATTTATTAATTATCATCTTCTTTGCACTTAAACCACATAAAATTCAATTCAACAGCAATATCACAAAATATTTAAAAACATATTTTCAGAACTTCCGATAGACAGTCTCGCGCGATAGAGATAAAAAAGTTTTTTTTTTTTTTTTTTTTTCGTACACTGTTGGCATTGCTCGCTTTGAATTTTTGAGTTCCTTTATCAAAAGTTCGTTAAAGTTTTGCAGAATATGAAATGGATAATAAAACAAATTCGACATTAAAAATTCGGGTTTTCAGATGCCCATGTACGAGTGCAGGATAACGTTATTCAAAAGCTGATGGCCCTAGCTGCAGCCGTTTTTACGCAATGCGAGAAACATGCATATATTCACGCAGATTTTTTGTTATTTAATATCTTTAAATATAACACAGGGCGATAACATTTGGTAACAACAATTTAAATAGTAATTCACCGTTTAAAGTGAAGTTGTTGAGTATATCCGAATGCAAAACGAAAGGTAATTCGTAAGATAACTTAAATTTTCGACAATCATAGCTGGGAAAAATTTTGATAAGCATTCTTTGGCAGCGAACTTCACGTGGACACTCTTATAACATATAAGTATACATTTATCAATGTAAAAGACATAAAAGTTTTTGTAGTAACTGAAAATGCAACAATGAATATTTGATGGAATGGAAATCTTGAGAAAGAAGAAACGATAAAAACTCATTCTTCGAAGAATTATTTTGTGTCCAATGCAGGTTAATATACCAGCTTAATTTTGTTTTAATAATGAAACGAAATACTATGCAAGATAAATTAAATAATAATATTGTTAAGAATTTTGTACTTAGATAGGTAATTTTAGTAGAATTATAAGTAAAATTGTTGTATTTTTTATGTGTAATGTAGCCCGAGACACATTTTAAGAGAAGGCTATGCCAGAAAAATAAAAATACTAAGGCCAGCGAATTTTGATTATTCTACAACTAATGCGTGCGGATTAATTTAAGGCATAAAAACCTTAACCGGAACGTAAGAACAATATACTTCAATTTCTTTTAAAACAAAAAATATACAATTTACCAACATCTAAGAATTAACTGAGAAACTGAGCTCACCCGGATGGGTAACAGAGTGATATATATATATATTTGGTGCGGCTTGATTGCAACCAAAAGGGGAGGTGCACAACTACATCTTACAGCAGTAACATATACACAATTTCAATGTTCTGAGGCTACTTGTTTTCGGGTATAGAAGTACATACGTACATACTTACGTACAGACGTCAGGAAAAAATTCTCTTCTAAATCCATTTTATAATCCGTTTTGGAAAAAAAAAATTCTTTATTCTTTCCGTGCGTACAAATGTCACGCAAAAACATCATTTAAATGGACTGGAGAGCTGTCAAATTGGATATTTTCGTTAAAATATGGCATCCGAAATTTTTCACGATTACAATACTGTGGTAATGATTATTTCGTTGGTTGTGGTGGCAAAACGTATATGTCACATGTTATGATAAACAGGAATATAGTGGCAACTTACCCCAGGACAAGATCCAGGTCTATAGCCCGCCGTGACGAGAGAGTGACAAACACGTGAAAAACAGATTTAATTCTGCTTTATTGGATACTAACAATACTGAAGAGATATTCCTTTTTTTTTTAAATCCGGTTATGTTCACATGACGATATGAGGCCTCCTTACTCAGAATAAAAAAAGATAGGTCAATTCTTCCACACAGCCCTTCGAAGACTTCGTGTATTTCAGCTCATACACATGCAGGTACTCTTCATCGGGATGCCGGGCGAAAATGCCAAGCCCGGGAAAAAAAAGGAGATTAGCTTAAATTTTGCAGCTACAACATCAAAGAGAAAGAAACTCGCTTCTTTCATACATACTGGGAGACTAAAGAAAGCTTGCACGATAAAATCCCAAAAGTTTGCATTTTATCTCCACTCTTACTGTCTTTCTCTATGCAGCGTCTCCATCTCGCACCTTCACAATCTCCTCCTTCTCCTCCCCTCTGGTAGACATGTCTTGTCTTGTCTTTTGAATGGTTAGGAGGCAATTAGCAGCCTCTGCTGCTTTAACCACCGCTTATGTAAAAAAATGCCCTTTAGGTGTCGGTATATATAATTGAAAAAAATGAGGCGTGTAACGCCGCGCGTACTAGGCGAAGCTGAAGCAAATACAAAGGTATGTAGAGTGAAAAAGCATCTGGGAAGCTGTTCGAGCTGTGACGAAGAAAATATATAACTAGCTGAAAAGTTTGCTTAATAAATAAAGCATTTGAAAAAATAAACATTAAGTAATTAAATTAAGTATGCTTTTGAAACAGGTTCAGAATGAAATGGATCGTAATTATACTGGTGGGAAGTGCTCAAATGAGGAATAAGTCAACAGTAACATATTTTCTGGTGAATTTCAAGAGTTCTCTTACGAGAAATGTTAAAGTCATAAATTAACAGTATTCACAAACAGTTCACACTGTACAAAGTCCTGGAATAAACACACTTTTTAAGAAACACTTGTAATTTTAAAAGACACAATATTTTATAGGACACTAATAAAATATAAAATTCTTGAAAATAATGATATAAAGTAGTAATCCACTGAGCTTTTTTAAGTCCTAATAAGTTTCTAAATAAGTTGAAAAAAAAAAACACAAAAGTCTCTAGTGGGGAAATATTTACAGTATGTACAGCTATTTACAAGTTTCACACCTGGATTATGAAAAATGCTCCTAGGACCTTAGCAGCATTTTCAAATGTTGGATCATAATTGATTAGTCCTTAATATGATCATATTGAGATGTTCAATTTACTAAAAAGTTGTGGGCAGGTTGAAAAATTTGGTCAGCAATTTGGTCTGATTTTTAATTTTTGTTTCTTTGTATTTGCAAATTTCGACTAACCAAGGAAAAACTTAAATTGTTTGTCGTTTGAAACATGTAGCCCATATGGGAATTGCTAAAGTAGTGTCGGTCAATCAGCATCATGTAAACTCTTTTCTTTAATTGCTGTTTAATTTTGAATCTCTTTTGATGAGAGGGTACAGAGCCATTTTTGCGACTGTAGCTTCCGTAAGGCATATGCAGTCTGTTTCTTGAGAGGAGTTTTGTGAATCGAAAGACACCCAGGTATTTAGTACATTGACGACGGGGAGTGGCTGATCTTCTATCTTTATATTTACGTTTACTGGAGTAAATTTTCTATACCTTCTAAAGAGCAGAATTGCATTAGTCGGATTGATTTTAAGTTCCAAGATTTGATGGTATGGGATGTTACCGGCTTTCTTCTAATTTGTCTAGGCAAACTGGGGTTTTAAAGATTTTGTAAAAATAGCGGTTCATCTGCATATTCACAAGTTTTGAATTTAGTGGGTTGGCATATCATTAGTAAAGATATTAAAGAGAATTGGCCC